GGGTAAAGGGGATCAAATATATGGTAGCTGAAGGAAACTGGACTTTGGGTGGTAAACACAATAGAATAGACAGATGTCAAATGATAATGTACACCTGAAAATTATATAATTGTATTAATTAACCAATGTCACCCCAATAAACTTAATTAAAAAAAAATAAAATAAATATATGCTTGGAGTTCTCCTAAATGAGTGGAACATTGCTGCAATTTGAACTTGTGGGTCTTACCTGATTAATAATTAAAAGAATCTTGGTCTGGACTCTGGTTGAATATACTCTACGCAAAGAGGGTTGAGTTAATTTCCAGATGCTAAGACAATAAGCAGTTTCTGGGAGTTTAGGTCACTGTTTCTACTTTCTTCAGTCCCTTTTATGTAAGTTCTACATGCATAGGACATCCCACCCACTAGATGTAAGTTTGCTCACCTCTTTGAGGGTGTCAAGCCTGAGACAGTGCCCTTGACTTTACCATGGATCCCCCAAACCATACCATTTCCCTAGGTGCAGTTGGCAAAGCTTGGAACTCATATTTTATTATATATAGTAGTTTATTCCCAGGCCTCTTGAAGGACTTACAGTTGCTTGAAGGTTTTTCTTTTGATTCTGGGGGTTTAAAACCATCATGTGTGGAGCACCTGAAGAATCCAAATAGCCCTGGGTGGTTGCTGGGGTGCTGAAACCAATGGGCAGCTGGGTGCTGCTGGGAGAGGTCAGCATGGCAAATGCGGTATAGGGCTGTGAGTGAACAGGTCCAGATGAGGGCTCCAAGGAGCTCTGGAGAAAGTGGTAGAAAAGAAACAAATCAACTTTGTGTGCTATCACTGGTCTCCAAAGTTGGACATTCCTCTGGGGAAGAATTCCTAAAGCAGAAATACCTCATGAACTGTCCCTTTTTCCTACAGCAATATTGACCCCTCAGTGGTCATTAGTGGCAAGGTGCACACTTTTTGCTGGTTCCCTTGCAAGTGAAACCATTTAATGAAGTTTACAAGGTCAGAGGATTTGCGTGTTCTCTTGTCCTATACCCTCATTTAATTAACAGAAGGGGCTGATTGGTGTGAGAGGCACAATCTGTGTCAGTAAAATTTGTCAGGGCTCTGGGATTTCTTCATAGGAGGGCTTGGTAGAGGGAAGAAAATCAGGTTGGAAGAGGGCTTGTCTGTAAGCTAAGTTTGCGTAGATAGCACACTACTTTTACTTATATTTACTGTCCATCGGTACGAGGCTGATGGGAGCACCCTGAGGAACTGAGTGCTCCCACCACAGTGGGGTGGGGATGGAGCCTGTCACTTTACCCTCATTATGGCTGGCCTCTACCTCTCCAAACTATCTTGTCCTGGGACTCCTAGTTGGGTTCCTCTGTAGGGACTTCAAAACAGTCTCCTCTAGGCTTCTTGGCATAGCATTTTTCACTCCTCAAAGGGACATCCTAGAGTACCTTTCATTCCTAAGAATCTCCAGATATTTGTGTTAGAGGAGCCCATTTGAAGGCTAGGCGATGAGCCATCTCTCTTCTGACACCAGTGGCAAATGATGAAATTTAGCAGGTGGAAACAATTTCCATTTGTATTTACTCACTAGTTCTTTCCAAACTAGCTCTACACAGCACCAAGGACCCCTTTGGTATTTGCAGCTTTCACATCCCTTCACATTTCCCAACACCATTGTATGTTGATCCAGTGATAAACTTTGCTACTATCATAGTTCCAAACATGGTTCTTTTATAGCCTGTGATTCCAATGCCTGGGAACTTAACGCAGTGTTAATGGGTCAGGCTGATGACATACTCCCAGCTCAACATTCTGTTTTTGATTCTAGGAAAAGGGGGAGGTATGCTACAGTTGTCTTTTGTGGGGTCAATCACACAAAATTAGAAGTGGTCCCAAACCTTTCCTAACTTCTTTATGCAGCTGTCATCCATTAATTTATCTAACACCTCTTCCTGGTACTGTATATTTGCCTTGTGTTATCTCTTGGAATTATGAATTTAATACTCAGTGTACAGAGTAATGTCTCTTGTTTTATTTTTCTGAAAATTTTTCATGCTTCAAGGAGGTCTTGTAGTTCCGGTCTTTTGGGACTGGATGACAACATCTATGTTCCTTCTAACCTCATATGATGTCTCCCCATTGCCTCTCTGACCGTGCCTCTTACCACTTTCTGCTCCAGACACACTACTATTTTGCTTTTCCTGAAACATCCCATGCATGTTCTTCCCTTAGGGCATTTGTACTTGCTATTTCCTCTGCCAAGCATGCTCTTCTACCATGTCTGTGTCCCTCACTTCCTTCAGGTCTTGATACAAAAGCCACCTTCTAGTGACACCTTGCTGGCCAACCTATTTAAAAATTTAGCTCTCTACCCTGACACTTCATAATTCTAATTTCCTGTGTTATTTTTTTCTCCTTGGCACTTTTATGACTGTCTATCATATTGTATACTTTACTTATTTATCTTGTTTATTATCCATATCCCCCACTATAAATATAAACTCCATAAAAAAAATTATTTACATCTGTTTTATTTACTACTGTACCTCTTACACCTAGAACTGTGCTTAGTCCATAGCAGTTACTCAATAAATGTTTGTTGAACTAGTGAATTAATTATGTTACAACTTACTTATGTTGCCTTTCTGGGAATTTGTCAGAGAAAGCTCATCCCTGTTCTCTTTATCATTTTAGTTATTCTGAGACCTCATTAGCTCCAGCCAAAAGTAAATGCAAAAATTAAGGAGGTTTGTGGATCTAGAACCCTAAAAGGACACCATACAACTTGCTTTGCTTAAAAACTAACTTACGATGCCTAGAGAGCAAGTAAATACCCATTTAATCAAGAAACATTTTTAATTCAGTTGGCATCCCAAACCATTAAGCACTATCTCAACCTGAGTATGACACTCAAGCTCAGGCATGAGATTCAAAATGGCACTAAGAAGATCTCTGTTGTCGTGTTTAGATTACATTGTATGGGTATAGAGGATATATTTTTTTACAACTTCCCTTAAACTCACTAGTAAATTAAATAAACTATTCAAATAAACTCTCTGGATCTTTGAGCAGTGTTTCTCAAAATATGATCTAGAACCCCGCCCCCCAACATCAGAATCACACAGAGTATGTGTTGAAAAAGCACATTCAAGTAGCTATCAAGATCTGATGAATAAGACTATCAGGGGAGGGAGTTTAATGTAAACTTCACGGGCTCTCCAAGTGAGTCTTCTCGGAGCCACTGCCTAGTCCTCTGACATGAAGAGAAAGCCTCCAATTTTCAAGTAGAAGCACAGCAAGTTCCTAAATAACTCAATCAATTGCCATAGAACAGGAGCCAGCAATATTTAGATCCCCTCTGGCAAGTGGGGCTCTTTTGAAGGCCCATCTTTTTCCTCAGCATATAGGTTAGGAAAAACCTAGAAAAGTTACCACAGGAGCCAACTACAGGATTTTATGAGCCACCCAGGAAAAGTAAACCAAATTCCTTTCTAGCATGTTTCTGTAAGAAAAAGTAAGAGAAGGAAATTGGACTTTTTTCTCTATTTTTCCTTCCTCATCCCTCCTGCAACCCCACTCCTCTCTCCCTGAACTCTGAGAACCAACATATGCTCTCTGTACCCAATTTATTTTCCTGTGTTTTAGAGGGAGGTTAGCGCAGACGGCTTCTGATTAACAGCTGGAGTTAAATGAGCTCCTTTTGCCTCAACATCTGGGAGATGTGCCATGCCTAGCAGCTACTAATCTAGAATCTTTCTGGGGAAGGAATCTGGGTCAAGCCTTGGGCCAGGGAATGAGATCCTCAGCACTAGTTGATAGGGGTGCTGGACAGTCCTTTGCTATTAGTTGGGGGTAAGGGCTGCTTGTTGGAAAATTAAAACACATTTTAGATTTTTTCCCTTTTTGTCAAATTTCTAGACCCAGTGAAAAATAGTTCAGTCAACAATATATCTTTTTGGTCACCCTTTTGATGGTTTCTTTGTCTGTTATATGATGCTAGGGTTTACTCCTTTTCCATTAACTGTTGATAAGAAACACTTGAGCGGGGACAGAGAGAGCAGTTTGACTGCTTCTTGGAACAAAGGAAAACCCTGATTGTTATGTCTTAAGTAAGGGCATTAACTGGTGGCTATTTAGGCCCAGATTTCATCAAACATTTGACCTGAAGAGCCATCACTCTGGGGAAAAACTCACTCCGAAACTGTCTGGAAGGTCCGACACAGGATGCTGGGGAGCTGGATTCTGTGAAAGCCCTTCAGCTGAAGGCTCGAAAGGCAAATACTCCTTGGAACATCTCCAAAAGAAGCAAACAGCAGCTTTTGGTGGGAAAACTGGTTTTCGGTGGGAGGCTTCTCTGTCAAAATATACTGGCACAGAGTATGAGACCTAACAATCACTCTTAGGGTTTTAATTTCCCGGGTGTGTCAATGTGGCTTCTGTGCCCATTCCTGTGCTGCTTCACTGAGAATTTTTGTTTTATAAAAACTGTTGTGGCCACCATTTTGCCAAGCTGAAAGTTCTAAGAGATGGAATTTCACATGTTTCCTGCAGCTCCCTTTCCATCACAATATCTTCAATTTCTTAACTAATATAGAGAATAAGAATATGAACTTCAGAATTGAATAGGCCTGAATTTGAAGTCCTAGTTATACCATTTATTAGCTGTTTGACTTGGGGCAAGTTACCTAACCTCTTTGAGCCCCAGTTTCTATGTCTCTAAAATAGGGATAATAATAATATACACTTTAGTGTGTTGTTTAAAGATTAAATGAAATGGTACATGGTAAATGCCATTCACATAAGAAAGTCTCAGTAAGTGTTAGCTGCTGTTGCTATTGCTGGGCATTGGTTAAACAAATTTAGAGAGCTGCTACAGTCTACATTGTTTGGTGAAAAGAAAAGCAGTATGGATTTATGCAGGAATCCTGGGTTTGAGTCCCAGCTCTATCTCTGATTGGCTCTGTGCTTTGGCCAAGTCATTTCACCTTTCTGAACTCAGTTTTGTTATCTAAAATGAGAACAATAGTATCTTTCCTATCTATCTTACAGAATTATTGAGAAAATCAAATGCATCTACATATGCAAAATTACTTTGTAAGCTACAGATCTATGCAACAATAGGGAGGGGCATTATGATCTTCTTTGATGTATCAGAGGATTTTTAAAAATATTGCTCTGGTCTTCAGAGACCTATTTGTAAATAATAATGGTGATTTCTAGAGTAGGCCATCAGGGGTAAAGCAAGAGATGTGATGAGACAACTTTGCAAGAATTTAAATGAACTCTTCATTAGCCAATACAACAGAATAATTGGCAGCTAATTAACTCCCACCATGTTAAATAGCAACATGTATTCTGTAGAGGAACTAAAGTCTAGGCATTTAATCAGCTCAAACTTTAAACACTAAAAAGCTGACATACCCCTTTCTCGAGAGTGAAAACTGATTGGGTTGTATATGCATGACTTCTTTTCCACACAATTATTTTTCCCCATGAAAAACAATACTGAAGAAAAATAGTTCACAGACTCATTAGAGAAGACAGATGAAAATGAGCCAGGTTGGGAAGGTGGCAGGGGTGAGGGAAGTACTAATTAGGAGGATCCTCTGGTCCAAGGGTGGGCTAGAGATGCTCCGTGGGGTGGATTAGTCAGATCCTACTAAGTCAGACTGCCTGCTGGGGGAGCCTTGGGCTTGTGTCTCTGTGTGGTGAAAGCTGAGGCCAAGTGGAGAGTCGCAGTGACTCATTATGTCACATATGCTATACAGAGATACATGTTCATCT